ATGCTCATCCATCATTGATATAACATGCTTATTCATCATGCATCATGCCTATATGCCTACTTGTTTGTGTGTGGATATACTCACCTTTTACACTTAGCTATGGAGTACTCAGTGAGTCTCTTCCCTCTTGTGCGATTAATTACATCTTGTTGCATGCTAAGTGTTGGTTGCTTTGTGTTACTAATCTTTTGCATTTGGCATGGGAGTACTAGGTGAGTCCCTTCCTGTTGTGTAAGTAGGTGTGTTTGTGAATGCTATATCTGTTGAGTGCTTTACATGCTTTATTTGATTATCATGGGATATATGTTGTTGTTTTTGTGGTTGCCATATGCAAGTTATTGAAGTGTCATGCCCCTTGCACACACTCACTCTCATTTTGCATTAGGTCCGTGTCGGAGGTGAACCCGACCTCTAGTCTGGAATCCTTACGAATCTAACTTGGAAGAGCAATTCTTCCCACTTTGAGGAGTAGGATCGGTTCCCATTAGGTTGTTTCCATTGGTTAATACGACACTTGATGATGTAATATCATCCTGTGTATTAGCTTTTGGAAATATCTCCCGTTGATTCCAAAAGGATAAATGGTTGAGAAGGCCTAATGCCCTTTAGGAAAACATGTATTGACCTCAGAGAAATACCAACCCTAGGATATGTTTCCCTTTACATCCCACCCGTGAGGTTAGGAGTCCCGTGTCTAAGACACAAAGGGGCATTTTACTTCACTAACCTTTGTTTGCGCATATGGCAGCTTATTTTTGAGGTATGGCATGTGAGGGTATGATTTATGTTTAACTTCTTTAAGCCTGTTGTTTAGGTAAGATCATGCATTAGACATGGATTTTACTGAGCATACAACTAGACAAGGGAAGAGACTTGGTGAAGATATCACATCTCATTATACTGCTAACAGAGCTAAGGAGTCAATCTTTTCAGTCAATACCTCCAAACTCGACTTGAAGTTGTTGAAAGAGGCTTACGGTTTGTTGTCTTCAAGGGAGAAGCATGACTTTGAGGTCCGATTTGGGTGCATTGGAGATCTATTGTCAGTGATGCCAGGTTGGAACTTGTTCAAAGCCATGTTGAAATTTTTTGTGCCAGAATATCAAGCTTTTGTGTTCCCACAATTTGAGTTGGTGCTCACCATTGATGAGTATCATCACTTCCTACGGTGTAGTCCTGCGGCGGATTCTCCTAACTTCACTCCTCAAGCACAACATATGAAGTTCACACTAGAAAAAGTTCAAGAAATGTTGCAAGGTATGTGGGGCTTTTCATCCGAATTCTTGCGACCATTGGTGACAACTAGAGATAGTTCTTATGGGTTTGATTGGAATGCAGCATTGATGGCTTTGGGAAAGAGATTGGAAGCCATGACACCTTCTCAAAGGATCATCTTTGTGGCATTGGGAATTTATGGCACGGTGATCTTCCCTATCTATGTCAAGACCATTGCACCTATGGTGATAGCTTTGTTTGAGCAATTGTTGCACACTTTGGCATTTAATCCTGCTTCTACGGTGGTAGCCGAAACTTTGTGGTCTATGAAAGAAATCTGGGCTAAAAGATCAGGCCGCTTCTTGGGTTGCATCGAGTTGTTCACTATATGGGCACATGGCCACTTAAAGGGTCCTCAATTCAAAGCTTTATTCAGTGTTCCTGTAAAAGATAGAAAGATGGAGGACTGGCATCGATCACTTCTAACAGCAACTGTTAATGACGTTGGATTTGTTCTCCCAACTTAGAGTGCTACTTATTATCTTGCTCCACCTGAAGGACATCACTCTATTCCTTTGTTGGGTATTCATGGAGGGGTTACATATTCTGTGGAGTTGGCATCTCGTCAGTTTGGAAAGGCACAAAACGCTCCCTATCTTGATGATGCATTGCAGTCACACTTTGATTACATGTCTTCCCCGGTGATTGTTAACAAGGTATCCAAGGCACATAAGATGTGGGAGAGATGTAGGATGCTACCCATATGGAAAGAGAGGGGGACTAGATCACAATATGAGCAATGGAGGTCGAGTTGGATAGCTAAGCTCTCTTTGCCATGGAAGGTGACAAATACGAAAAACTCTACCATCATGGACTTAACTGCTAAGTTGGAACTTAGCCATGCTCAAAGATGTCAACTGTTAGAGAAGTATGATGAATTAGCTCTTGATTATGAGTTGCTTAAAAAGGGAAAATAGTTGTCAGATCAACAAGTGGTGGAGTTGAAGGACAAGATTGCCTCATTGGAAAAGGATTTGACTGCTAGTAAAGAAATTTGTGGGAAGCAAAAGAGGAGCTTGAACTTTGCTGAAGAACAAAGGAAAAGGCTGCTACGAGTAAAGGCGGATCTTAAAGCAAGAGAAAAGGAGAACAATGAGCTCATTGAGAAGGTGACTAGGCAGCAAGAGTTGAAAGGAAAAGTGATTAAGTGGAGGAATGCTTACAACAACCTATTGTCTGATTATGATGCTCTACAAAAGGAATTGCAAGCAGCAAAGCAATCAAGGCAAGGAAAGAAGGAGAACACAACTTGAAGAACTTGGGGAAAATGGGTTACTTAGGAGCTTTTGTACAAATGTCAGAAATTCAAATCTATCAATGAAAACTTGCTTGAATGAATACAATCCTTCTTCCTTGTCAAAAGTATATTCGATGAAGTAAAATCCATGATTAGGATAAAAATTTTAAGTCTCATATCACATATACATTCCTATTCAATTACACTTATCATTAGCTATAATCTTTGGTCATCCTCTTATTGATATCTTTATTTGGTCATTTTTGTTTAGTTCTCAAGCCCCTTTGTTTGGACCATCTATGACCTTTGAAAAGAAATATGGATTCTCACACATCCAAGGCACAAGCTTCTTCACCCAAGACTTTGTTGGAGCTCTCTGCTCGTACTCAAAGGCTCAATGAAGAAACCATCTCCTATTTGCATCAGTTGACAAAGAACAATGAACACCTTTGCAAAGCCAATGAGCAATTGGAAGAGCAACTACAAGACATGACTATCAACCGTAATCTTTACAAGATTGCCATGGAGGACATGTGCTATCAACTCCAAGTCGAAAAGCAAAAGAACCAAGTCCTTCTTGAAGAGGACATCGGCTTGCGTGAAATTATCATTGACATAGCCGCCTTGGTGTCTCAATTCGAGGGAAGGATGGCAGAGACTCATCACCACATCGCTCAAAGGAGCCATCCGATTGAGAGGGGATTCTTCCAACCAGTCTTTGACTTTATCTTTGACATGTCCAATATGCTCAGAAGGCTGTATTAGAATTCATGTTCTGTAATGAGTAGGTTTTAGCTTTAAAAGAATGAAAGTTTGTAAGCACTTTGAATGCAACTTTGTAATGCTTGCCCATTTTGTCTAAAGTGCATTCCTTAGTTAGTTTTGTCCTAGCTTTCAAAGAATGAAGGTTTGTAAGCACTTTGAATGCAACTTTGTAATGCTTGCTAATCTTGTTTCAAGTGCGGTAATTTAGTAATGAAAAGCCATGTTTCAGCACAACTCATTATAAAATAGGTAGATGTCTTCGTACAAGATGGAAATGCCGATGTGAGAATCCATATGGAAATTCAAAAAGGAAACTAATGGTCCAATCGAAAAGGGCTAAAGTCTCTTTAGTTTTCTAACTTTGTTCCTTTTGTTTTTACATTACTGTTTAGGTAAAATTCTTCTAACCATAGCTCCACGACGAAAGGTCTCCAAAAGGCGGCATTCTCCGTATTTGCTCAGATCTAGAGTAATCAAAATGTCGGAGGAAAACATTGTTGTTAATCTACAAAAATCAGCCGTGGACGAGAGGGTTGATAAGTTGGAAGCCACAATGCAAACTCTGGCTGCTACTCTTCAGACCATCAGTCTCACTTTGTCCACTTTGACTACCGGTTCGTTCCTTCACTTGCACCCTTAATACCCACAATACCAGTTCCACCTGTCCCTACCATCACACTAGGTAGTCGTGCTAAAGATCCCATGGTCACACAATTGCAATTTCCACCCATTTATGAGAATCAGCCTTTAGTGGGGGAGTCATCTTCACATGCTCCACAAATATCATCTCTACCCTTTGAAACCTCACACCCACCACTTGAGATGAACAACCCAACCTTGCCCACAACCATACCACCTTTGATGGGACAAGTGCCAACTATTCAAACCAACCCCTTGGTTGAGATATTGAGGCCTACTTTGGAGGATGGGAGGTCAAGAGAAGTTGATCACAAGCTACAACAGTTAGAAGAGGCTTTGAAGGCTATGCAAGGGCCTCAAGCTTATGGCTCCATTGACTTGGATGATCTTTGCTACTATCTTGGAATTCAGACAAATTTCAACTTCAAGCAGCCGGATTTTGACAAGTATGATGGCTCAGGTTGTCCTTACGCTCACCTACAGATGTATGCCAGAAAGATGGCACCTTATGCTAATGATGAAAGGGTGCTCATTCATTATTTTCAAGACAATCTCTCAGGCCCAGCAAGTGTTTGGTTTTTAACACTTGACAAAAAGAAGATTCGCACTTTCAGGGATGTTTCTCAAGCTTTTATGAAGCCATATGAGTATAATATGAGTTTGGCCCCAACAAGGGATAGCTTGCAAAGAATCACCAAGAAAGGTAATGAGACTTTCAAAGAATTTGCTCAACGGTGGAGATCTGAAGCAGCCAAAGTCATTCCACCTCTTACCGACAGTGAAATCTGCTCTCTTTTTATCAAGTCAACTACCGGAACCTTTCGTGCATGGCTGGCTCCTTGTGTCGGATATACTTTTGCTCAGTTGGTGATAGCGGGTGAACAGATTGAGGAGGGACTAAAGGCAGGTATTATTATGGACTTTCAAACTATCCAGAGGCAGTTAGAGCAAGTTAAGATGGGAAGCTCGGGATCTACTTCGAAGAGGTTCTCACCCAAAGGGAAGAAAGAAGATGAGGAGGCTCTAAGTCATATTTTCACCAGCCATGCCAAGCCAATTTATAATGTGGCAAATGTTCCTTATAATCGGCAGCCCCAATTGTAGTTCACTCCAACCTTTAGGCCTACCACTTATCCTCAAAGGAGGCCAAACTTCAATGCTCATGCTCCAGTTAGACAACAATTCCCTTCAACAAATAGGTCTAGACAGTTTACCAAGCTTCCAATCCCTTATAGTGAGGTGCTAAAACAATTAGTGGCAGTGGGTTTGATACGGACAGTACAAGCAAACCCTGTGCAACCACCTTACCCTTACGGGTATGATCCACAAGCTAAGTGTGAATATCATAATGTAGCAGGTCATGGTACCGAATATTGTACAACTCTGAAACATAAAATTCAAGATCTCATTGATGAAGGAAAACTGATGAAATTAAGAGTGCTCCAAGCATCACTCAGAATCCTTTACCTCCACATGGTGCACCCACCATGAATATGGTTGCCTTTGATGAAGTTGATGGACCCGTGTTGAAGAATGTTAGTGCTTGGTCTCTTGATGAGTTGTTTGCCATTTTGGTGGAGTATGATCTAATTCAACCGATCGCACCAATGAGCTTGGATGTTTTGCCGGTAATGCTTGATGAAGTTGTGATGTGTCCTTATCACTCTAATATGAAGGGGCATGCTTTGCAAGATTGCGAGGATTTTCAAAGAAAGGTTGAGGAGTTGCAGGCAATGGGATCTTTGAAATTCATGTCTACTCCAGAGTCAGAGAAATTCATAGCACCAGTGACTGAGGAATACTTCACCAAAGAGAGGCCATATACTCTGCAGAGTATTAAAAAAGCACAAATCATCAGGCAAAATTCTCAACAACCTTATGTCTTGAAAACCTCTCTTAGCGAGCCATCCGTGGGAGAAACATCATCTGTGGTCAACAGCCATATTCCTTATTCATTTATGGCCACGCCTCAACATGTTACCATTATGGATCCTACAACTAATGATGTGTCCAATATGACCCGTAGTGGTCGGTGCTATGTGAGTCCCGAAGTGGAAGAATCGAGAAAGGCTGCCTTGAAGTCAAAAGGCATCAGAATTGAAGAGATACTAGAAGAATCACCCAAGAAGCTAGTGCCAGAAAATGAAGTTGCAGAATTTTTGAATATTTTGAGGAAGAGTGAGTATAGCATCATTGAACAGCTCAGCAATACTCCTGCAAAAATTTCTATTTTAGAATTGATGCTGTCATTTGAGGTCCATCTTGATGCATTGCTCAAAGTCTTGAAGGAGGCCCATGTGCCTAAGAACATTGATACTCAAAAGTTGGGGACTGTGGTTGGGGCAATTTTAGCTCCAAATTACATTAATTTCACAGATGATGAGATCCCTGATGAAGGAAATGGGCATACCAAGGCTCTTCATATTTCAGTCCAATGTAAGATGATGAATGTGCCTCATGTGTGATCGACAACGGGTCAGCTTTGAACGTGATTCCTATGACTGTTTTGAAGCAGTTGAAAGTGGATGAGTCTCACATTAATCAGTGCAATACAGTGATTCGTGCTTTTGACGGAACAAAGAGGAATGTGATTGGAAAGATTGAGCTTCCAGTGGAAATTGGTCCTATGACTTTTGAGGTGGATTTCTTTGTCATGGATATTTCCCCCACTTTCAATATGCTTCTTGGGAGGCCTTGGATACATGTTGCCGGAGCAGTACCGTCCACTTTGCATTAAAAGGTCAAATACATTATCAATGGTGTTCTTGTCACGGTGAATGGTGAGGAGGAACACGTCATCTGAAAGGCTACAACTATTCCTTACTTGGGAGTTGATCCGGGAACTTATGAATCTTCTTATCACTCAATGGAGTGTGCTGCTGCTTCTTATATTCACCCGAGGTTCAAAGGGAAAAGGGTTGAAATGGCTAAACCTACCAAAGTTGCTGCTAAGATCATGCTTGCATGTCACTACCAGTTGGGAGAGGGTTTGGGATTGAATGGACAAGGAATTCTCGAGCCTATTGAGGTAATTCAAGCTTGGGCCACTTTTGGTTTGGGATACAAGCCAAAGAAGGAAGATTGGCAGAGAATGCGTGCTATTAAGGCAGAGAAGCGCCTTGCTAGACTTCAAGGGAGAGATCCTAGGGATGAACCAATGTGGGTGCCGCACATTAGAGTCACATTTCCATGACCTGTTGAGATTTTGTGCCCTTCTTTTGATGGATATATGGTGAAGCACATGGATGTTTTATATGTAGATCCAGAGGGTACTATTTTCACTGATAGATTGCTTGAAATTGGGGAATGTTCAAAACAAGTAAAGTATGAGGAAGTAGTTGTGGAAGACATCACGAATGAAGTTTGTTCTGATGATGAGGAAGACAGTTTTGGCTTCAACAACCTCTTTGGGCCAGCCAACATGACATATCCTAAGGAAAGGTGGAGAAGGATACTTGCCGAAAGGGCATTTATGGAAAAGCACCCCAACTTCCAACTCATTCATCATGCAAAAGCTCCAATGGGTTTCCATGAGTCTGTGCTCCTGGAATGACCAATGCCAACAAGCCTTTGACAAAATCAAAGAATACCTTAAAAACCCTCCAATCCTCGTGCCTCCAATTGATAAAAGGCCCTTCATCCTATACATCACTGTCCTTGAAGAATCCATGGGAGCCATCCTTATCCAACATGATGACTCAGGCAAGAAAGAGAGAGCCATCTATTATGTGAGCAAGAAGTTCAATGATTGTGAGAGTAAATACTCACCCTTAGAAAAAAACTTGTTGTGCCTTAGCCTGGACATCCAAGAAACTTCGCCACTAGATGTTAACCAACACCACTTACCTACTTTCAAGAATGGATCCCATAAAATTCATTTTTGAAAAACCTACCCTTTCTGGAAGAATCTCTCGGTGGCATATGTTGCTTTCCGAATTTGATATTGTTTACACCACACAAAAGGCCATCAAAAGGCAAGCCATTACAGATCATTTAGCCGAACATGCGGCAGAAGATTATGAGCCTATTGATTGGGATTTTCCTGATGAAGACATTTTGGCATTGGAGGCAAAATCTGATTCAGACAATTGGAAGCTCTTATTTGATGGAGCTGTTAACCAGCTTGGTTGTGGCCTTGGAGCCGTGTTGGTATCCCCAAAGGGAGATCATTTTCCTGTTGCTATAGAGCTTGATTTTGCTTGTACCAACAACATAGCCGAATATGAAGCTTGTATTGCAGGAATACATGCTGCTCTGGATATGAATGTCCGAGATTTGGAGATATATGGTGATTCAGCGCTAATCATATGTCAAACAAATGGCGATTGGCAAACCAAAGATCCAAAACTTATTCCCTATCACCAATATCTTGAAACTCTCATCAAGAAATTCAGATTCATCTCTTTGAACCATATGCCCCGTGCCAAGAATCAGTTTGCGGATGCTTTGGCAACTTTAGCCTCCATGATCCAAATCTCCGGTGATGATGTGATTAAGCCTTTGGTGATTGAAATTAGTCAAGAACCGGCACATTGCATGGAAATCAAGGTTGATGACAAACCATGGTTTCATGATATTAAACAGTTCTTACAAAATGGGGAATACCCTCTACATGCTTCTGAGGCGAACAAGAAGACAATCAGAAAATTAGCAGCTTCATACTTCTTGAGCGGAAATACATTGTATAAGTGCTCTGCTGATATGACCTTGTTGAGATGTGATGATGAAACAGAAGCAAAACAAGTCATGACTGAGGTCCATGAAGGGATATGTGGAACACATGCAAATGGAAGAATGCTTGCTAGAAAAATTCTCCGGGCTGGCTATTATTGGTTGACTACGGAACATGATTGCATCAAATATGCACGAGCTTGTCACAAATGTCAGATTTATGCTGATCATATTAATGCTCCGCCTTCATTACTGCATAATATGTCCGCTCCTTGGCCATTCTCCATGTGGGGCATTGATGTGATTGGGACAATTAATCCTAAGGCTTCCAATGGTCATCAATTCATCTTGGTTGCTATCGATTATTTCACCAAATGGGTAGAAGCGGCATCTTATGCTAGTGTTACAAAGAAGGTGGTCACTCGCTTCATCAAAAGAGAGATCATCTGCAGATATGGGCAACCAGAGGCCATCATTACTGATAATGCAAGCAATTTGAACAATGATATGATGACTGCACTATGCAAGCAATTCAAGATCAAGTATTTGAACTCTTCTCCATACCGACCAAAGATGAATGGTGCGGTGGAAGCTGCCAACAAGAATATCAAGAAGATTCTAGCTAAAATGGCAGTTACTTACAAAGATTGGCATGAAATGTTACCATATGCTCTCCATGCTTATAGAACCTCTATTCACACTTCAACTGGGGCAACACCTTATTCCTTGGTATATGGAATGGAGGCAGTATTACCAGTTGAGCTAGAAATCCCTTCTATGAGGATCTTATCCGAGTCAGGGATTGATGAAGAAGACTTGATTCAGAAAAGGATAGATTATCTCAATTTGCTTGATGAGAAAAGATTGGCAGCTCTTTGTCATGGCCAATGCTATCAGCGACGAATGGCAGCAGCTTACAACAAAAAAGTCAAACCTAGAATATTTCATCAAGGGGATCTCATCTTAAGAAAGATCATGCCAAATGAAAGAGACCCTAAGGGCAAATTCGCACCAAATTATGAAGGGCCCTATGTTGTTAAATAAGCTTTCTCTGGAGGAGCACTCTTGTTGAGATATCCGGATGGAACTGATTATCATCACCCGGTGAATGCCGATGCTGTCAAAATGTACTATTGCTAAAAAAAAAAAAATTAGGTTGAAAACTCGAAAAGGCGGCCTAACAAATTAAATGTTTCCTTGACTTGGAAAGTTGAACATCCAATGATGAAAGGCCTTGTTTCTCTACCCTAAACAGTTGAACATTACCCTTTTGCTTACCTCTTTCGAGCCAAAAAAGGCAATCATTCAAATTTACAAAAGCCAGAATGATTTTCTTTCTATTAACCGACATTAATGACCGGGGAAGTGAAGAGAGAGATGTGAGGGGAACATATGGATTTTGAGCCTTTATCCTTTCTTTCATCGTA